AGTGTGAGAGCGAGAGTGAGAGGTGAGAGTGAGAGGTGAGAGTGCATATGAATGTGAGTGTGAGTGAAACGTGAGCGAGAGCGAGCGTGAGTGTGAGTCTGAGTGTGAGCGTGAGCGTGAGCCTGTGTGAGAGTGTGACCGTGAGCAAGAGTGAGAGTGAGAGTGAGCATCTGAGAGCGCAAAGCGCTGCCTGCCGCGAAGTCTGCACTCTGCGGTTCACAAAGTGCTGCCCCTGCCTCGAGGTTCACAAAGTGCTGTGCCTGCCACGAAGTCTGCACTTCAAGAGTCACAAAGTGGCGCGACGAAATCTGCACTTCAAGGTCCACAAAGTACTGCGCACTGCACCTACCACGATTTTGGAAAGCCCGCCACATGTAGAAAGCCACGATTCACTGCACCTGTCACGAAATCAGAGCGCCTCGAAGACCACCACCACATCCAAAGTGCTGCACCTGCCACGAAATCTGCATTTCGAAGTAAGCCGGCTCCGATCCCTTGCACCTGTCACGAAAAGTCGACTTTGCACCACCAACACGAGCGCCTGCCACGAAAAGTGACCACCATGCCCGAGAATGCGCACGGCGCCACAACGAGAGCGCAGTCGCGAGAAGCACCCGCCGCAGACATCCAGATTCTGCGACCTTGCGCAGTCGAAATGCACTTCGAGGATTTCGAGAGGCATGAATGTACTGCAAGTAGCAGCGAAATAGCCGGATCCGACCGCGCAACACCTCGATTAGACACCAGTGCTTATAACCACCACCGTAAGAACCCCTAGTGTGTCCAAACCCAAGAATTGTCAAGGCTTTCGAGAGTCGGGGTGATGCCATATTAGTTCAACCGTTCAAAGGTGGTGCTACAAGTGTGTCAACGGCCCAAAACCACACCCCTGGCACCGACTGGGAAGTGTAGCCAAACCAGACAACAAGCTCCTGATGGCCATCTTTGGGTCGCCGAGTCGCTCCGATTCCGGAATGCCATCAGGAAAGCAAAGTGAGGCCGCTCCGATGACGAAGCTGCTCAGCAAAACTCTCATCATGGCTCGTCGGAAATCACGTCCCGCGCACTTTGACGCGGTTCTAAACAGCCCACCCCAGTGTCGTGTAAGCCGACCGTCTGAGAGATCAAACACCAATCGACTGATTGAATGTCACGGTTCCCACCGGGCGATTCAAACAAACAACTACATACACCCGGAGAAACTCGAGAGAATCGGCCGTGTTGGTGTCTGTCCAACACTGAGGCCGTCACTGAGGGTTTCGTTGGTGTTTTCGAGGAAATCACCTGAAGCCGTGGGAGGCGACAGAAAGCCCATTCGAGGCTTGTCGACGGCTAAATCCCCCCAACGGCCGGATTTTTCTCAGAAGTGAAGGGAATCAGACACCGAGTTCAACCTATATTGGCATAAATAGTCTGCACTTTGCTCATCCTTTTGCCCTCTCCGGAAAGAAAAAAGGGCCCTGCGCCTGCGGCCCTGCTCATCGAGACAAAACCTCAAATTTGCCTGGCATCCTGTCCCATGATCAAATCACATCCTTTTTCAAGTCCTCCAGAAGCCTCCAACACTATATGGTTTCCCACCAAGCGTCCAAGTCTGCTTCCGACCGTCCGTTCCGCACCCAGTCTACAGCAACACAGTCAAACACCTGAACGACTCACTGACTAAGGTTCCCAAAGAAACCCGTTGCAAGAAAAAAAGATAAATAGTGGTTCTTGCTTCAAAAACTACGGCATTAGAAACCTTGCAGGAGGGTGTGGCCGCTCCACGGTTCCTTCGGTCGCGCAACATCTTCGAACCAAAGACCCGTATGAGGTCTGGACGTGACTCGTCGGGTCTCAGGTCCCGAATCCAATTCTTGCGCCGCTGGGCGGGTCCTCCCAAAAGAGCACGGCCAGGGTGGATCAGAGGCTAGGCCTGTCAACCCCAAATCGGTACGAGAAACCCTCCCGAAGAGAACAACAACCAAACATACGAATTGGTGTGAACAATATTATACTTGACTCTGAGCTTCCGCAACACCGTGGTTACAACTAAAACATGGTGGATCTGTACTGGGTCACAAAACATATTTACAGCACATGCGGGCGCCTCAAAAGGGGAACAACAACAAACCCGATGTTCCAGGACAGGACTTCACCACAAGACTGCTCGGACGGGGGCTCGCTCGCAACGTCCTCTCGGGACTGGCGTTCTCGCTGCGAAATCCAAACAAAGCTCGAGAACTCGCAAAGCTCAGGATAAAGACGTTAAACAGGTGTTTAGAGCACAAAACAACAACATCAACGGAAAAAGGTACCCCGGACGGTAAAAGCGGGCGAAAAAGGATGAAAAAGGTACATGGCCGAAGACCGCGCGGGTGGGCCACCATTCTCGTTCCACCTCGGGCCAATGGACCCTTCCGAAAAGGCCAGCAATTGAGGTTTGCTTAGGTTTGCCTATGCCCCCGCAGATGCACTGTTTCAACAACTTGGGTTATTGAGAGTTCTTCCATCCCAATCCATTTAAAACAACAAGTCTGTGTTGTTCTTTGGAAGTCTGAACCCAAAACTGTGCCTCCGCCTGCAGGTTTGGCACATTCGAGGCATTCGAGGCTGGCTGCCTCGGCGAAAAGATGTCAAAACAGGTACATGTCCAGGTCCCGAACCAATGAGAGAAGGCGTGCGCCTGCCAGTTCCTGGATATGCTCAAGGTAGTGAAGGTGGCGCAATGAAGGAAATGAACAACATGTTCTTTCTAGTAACAAGTGCATCGCTTCTAGTAACAAGTGCATCGCTTCTAGTAACAAGAAGCTACTAGTAACAAGTGC